CCTTAACATATTAACTGATGTGTGTTTCCTCCTCCCCTCCTTCTTGAAGCCCAGACCCCATACCTCTACCTAGGCAGCTAGCCATGACCCAGGACAACCAAATAGTAACCAAAACGGCTAGGAGGGTACAGGTGGATCCTGTCTAAGGAAGGGCCACATGGGACAAGTTGCGCTGGGACAGTGGGAAGACTGCCCTGCCCCACTAAGATGTCAGCTCCAGTGGTAGCACTTCTATATCCCCTCCCTAGATCTGTACAGAAGTTGCCTCTAATTTAAATACTAGCAATCAATAAATAGCAGCATAGTGACAAAGTAGAGACAAATTAAAACACCTTAGGCATGGAGTGGGGAACAGGAGTGAACCCTAGCTCTGGTCTAAAAAATCAAATGATATTTGGCAAGTTGCAGGGCTTCTCTGAGCCCCAAATATCTAAGCTGTAAATGCCAGAGACAATTCTTTATGATGCATAACGTATTAAGCTATCTCCTTAAAAGATTCCTTCAGTAAGGCTAATTTTTCATTTTGTGAAATATATCAAACACCGTTTTCTATGTGGATGGCATAATTCAGCTCACCCTTTATTCTCTAGGTTTTAGTGTCAATTGACCATAAGAATTGGAATTAGATTCTCAATAGCATCACAAATCAGGACGAGTTAGAATTTCAGATTTACGTTTCTCTAATTAAAATCAAAATTTTAAAAATTTGCATTGTTGCAAAGAGCATTTCAAGTTTTACATGCAGAATGTAAAGCGTGATTCTAAAGAGAGGAAAACCCTGTAGTGTTTCATGATTATTTAAAAAATCGTTCTCAAAATGTTGATACGACACAGTGATTGGGATAAAATATTAGCCAAATGTGTGTTAATTAATCTCCAGTATAGATGGAAACATTTACTTAGGATTCTCTTTCAGCGTTTTCCTGTTTGCTTTCCAGAGTCGTCATAGATGCATGTATATCTGTGTTCAGAGCATGGCTGTGGAGTGCAGACATTGTATATTCATATTTGCTTAATGCTGAAAAACAAATAGATTTACCCTCAAAGAAAACCAGTTTCGTTTCCCAGTCACTGTTCTTATCTGGATTCATCAGAAAAAGAAGAGGTAACCAAGAAAAATCTCTAAAGGGATAAAACAAACAAACAAACAAAAAATGATCTTTACGCCCAAGTCAGAGAAGGCATGGAAAAAGCAAAGCTTGGAAATGTTCTAGTAGCAGGAAAACAGTTTCTTTGGAGACAGTCTCTGCATATAGACCCTGCCCGAGTTCCCTTCAGTAAGTCAGAAAAGGAGTGGATTTTTTTAAATCTTTGTGATTTGAAAGTAAACATTAATGTGAATGGAAGGTTTATAAAACTCGTAACTGAAAATCAAGTTTTACTATTAAATGAAGTAATTAGTAAATCTGCTCCAAGATCCTGAATAACTCATGAACTAATTGAAGAAATGGGTGTGATTCTTGAAAGAGTCAACTTCTGAGTGTGTATATCTTTCTATCAAACACTTTAGAGCAGGAATAACCCAAAGTGACGAAAGGTACTCATGAAGGGGCCCTGATCAAAGTTCATTTCAAGTTTTCTCTGAACTTCATAGCCTGGAAATAAAATGCTAGACTGTTAACAACTATTTTTTCAACATAGTGCTTCACATTTATTTCCTTTCAAAACATATATATATATGTTTTGAAAGGAAATATATATATATATATATATATGAAAGGAAATATATATATATATATGAAAGGAAATATATATATATATATATGAAAGGAATATATATATATATATATATATATCAGTGTATCATGGATATCTATATTTATATGTATATATCTTCTCTCTCTCATATATATATCAAGAGAGAGACAAACATAGTATTTACCCCAAACCAAACTGCTAAAATTGATTCTGATGCATAGACTCAGTTTATCTTCTCTAAAGTGCTAACTGAACATGTATGCCTTTTTTATTAAGAAAAAGTAGTTAAACAGTGAATATTCTAAGTCACATATCAGTACATTTAAATCTCATTTAAAAATTATTGACTTGCTTTTTTGAATTAGCTTGAATCCTCTCAACAGGAGTGAATCCACTAGTTTATGCTTTAAGTGCTCAAAGATTATCATCTAATGGGGAACTCAGTAACCTGTGGGAAGGTAATTAGATTTCACAATGCATTTATAAAAACATACAACAATAAGCAATATATAACAGCACATTTTCTTTTATTGTATAGATGAGAAAACTAAAACCAAAGGGGTTAATAATCTCATCCAGAGTGTTACAATAAGTGATGAAACCCAGAATAGTCTGATGCAAATTTGCTCTTTACAATGATGCCACGCTTCCTTAGGAGAAAAACAAAGATAGATTCTGCTTCTGTAACCTAAAAAACAAGGCAGCGAGGACCACAGATGGCATCCCAGCTGTGTCTAATATACACTTGGGACAGCAGTGTCACCTGAAACCATTTCACATCACACAAACAGAAACACAGTTTTGCCAGTTACCTGGTTAATCCTGTTAATTTCAGTGAAGCAATGAGGTTTCAAAATAAATTTTATTTGGCCTGAAACTTTGGTTTGGCTGTCTGCATCTATCGAAGGAACTGGATAATCAGGAAATCTTCACTGAGTCCTGCTTGGCCACATCTAACTATGTATCATTAAATAACCTCTCGTTCAATCTGATGTGAAATGTGGCTATTCTGTCTTAAATATTGTATATGCCTGTCATACATTGTTTTGGACCATACCTAGACTGCTGCTTAAACGTCTTCAAACATTGTGCAGTGTATGTTTGAGTACATGGTACAGTTGGAGCATTAGGTATCGGAGTCACAGGTTAGATGATGAGGAAGGTGGGGGGAGGAAGGTCAGAAGGCTGGAAAGTCAGTTACTTCTACTGTAATTTAGCACCACTTTTCTCTCACTCTGGAGAGACGAATGTTGTGTGTGTGTTTATTTTAAAGACCACTTGGGGAGAGGCTATTAACTGTCATCAAATAAGTTTCATATGATTATTCTTATATTCATTTATTTTCCATGCATTCTAAAATAGGAAGTTTCATGTTGTCATTCTCTATACTAGATATTAATTCCTAGATGAGTTTGATTTTTTTTCCCTGCAGTTGAATGGTGATAAAATGAAGCTATTTTGAAGCACATTAAATCTGCAAATTTGAACACTTTGATGCCAGTGTTCATTTTATTGCAAGGTATCCTATTTTCACCTTCATAAAATTGAATGCTTGCATGTACCATATAATTAAATTTAACCATACCAAAAGCTCAGGTCTCTGCATTTGTTAACTCTTGACTGCATCACTGCCTAGGAACTTTGATAAAGTTTACTGCAGTTTTCTTAACTCTTATGTGAATTATCTAGTAGGTAATCCAATTCTGGACTTTAGGGAAAGCAAAACACTACTTTCTTATTTCCATGGCCCCTATCACAATGACACAGTACTGTTCTGGCAAAGATAGCTATGATTGGCAAGGAATTCTTTTCTCCTGGGATATGGGACTCCCTTCCTGTTGGCTCTAATGTCTGCCCTGAGGAACATAATTGCTCTTCTGAGGGAAGTAGAAATTAGTTGTTGCTCTTCAAGATTGAGACTTATAAAATACATTCTGGCTGATCACCAGAAAATGAAAATTTTGCGGATCTTGGAAAGTTTGAAGCTGCTAAAGGTGGCATTTGCAATCTGTTCCTTCAGCAGGATTTTATTCAGATCAGTTCTACAGGAAACCTAGAGGATATAATAAGAAAAAGGACAGAGAGGAGCAGATTCACTGGAATAGAAAGTTACAAAGCACCCAACATGGGGTTTTTAAAAGATAGATGTGCTTTTCAAGGCAAAGTGCCACAGCCCCATCTAATCTGTTAAAGCAATTGCTGATAGATATATTTTTGCTCCCTCAGGCATGATCAAATATAAACTGATAGTCTGTCCTGCCTTATCTCCACTCACTACCCACCACATGTCTACTCTCTGATCAAAAGAGATGACACTTTCCCAAAGGCCCCTGTGATTTACCCCTCTGCTTCCCTACTCACCCTGCTTTCTGTTTCGATTACCTGTTATGTGCCCACTGGTTAAGTAAAATCCAGAAGTTAAAGCTTAGGTGTCATTTCTTTTGTGAATGTCCTCTGCTATCTGTCATGGTCTTCTCAAAAATACTGCTTATAAATGCTGCCTCCATTGGCCTACCTCCCTGTCACTCTTCAACCACTCTGATCGAGTTTTGCTGTGCTCTTCCACTGAACGTGACCTTACAAAGTCACAAAAGCCGTCCACACCGCCCAATGGATGGGCCTTTCTCTGTTGTCCGCATCACACTAGATTTTTCAGTAGCTTTCCAAACGGTAAGCCATGGCTTTCTTTTTGAAAGACTCTTCTATCTTGACTTTTGAGACTCACCTCTCTACTAATTTTCCTGTTAGTTCCTTGGCTGCTTTTTCTCATTTTTCTTTGCTAGCTCCATTCTATCCCAAATCTATATATTGGGTTTCCCCCTGGCTTAGTTTAGTTACTTTTTTCAAACTACCACCTCCCCTAACCCCTGGAAAGGTGATTTATTCCCAAGGATTGAAGCATCATTGTTATCCTAATCACTTCTACATTTATCCATTCAGACCAGACCTCTCTGTGATTTTTCCTGTCTGCATATCTAAACTGTGTACTTTACATCTTCCCTGGAATAATTCCACGTGTATTCCAATATAACTTTTGATTTGCACCCCCACAACCCACCTTGCGTCTACCTACTTGCCCAAGCAGAATATCGAGGAAATATCCTATTTACTCTTTCTTTCACATGCTCCATCTATTACATCATGAGCAAGTTCTAGAAATTTTGATACAAAAGATCTTAAATCTTTCTACTTCTTTCTATCTGCACTACTACCACCGTGTATCTGTGTGTACACACAGATTAATACACACAGTGCAGATTTCAATTACTATATGCAAAGTATATATGTGATTTAAAGAAAAATTTTTTAATATATTTTTATTGAAGTATAGTCAGTTTACAATGTGTCAATTTCTGGTGTAAAGCACAATGCTTCAGTCATATAGGAACATACATATATTCATTTTCATACTATCTTTCACCAGAAGTTACTGTAAGATAATGAATATAGTTCCCTGTGCTACACAGCATAAACTCATCATTTAAGAGGAATTTTAAGTTAATTTTTATAATTTTAAAAACATAAACTATATTTATAAATTTATTTTAAATATATAAAATTATATATAATTGTGAATTATATTTACATACAGTTTTTTACAATTTAATTGTATTGTTTTCTGAATAATATAGCCAGTTTAATGAGAGTGCATGCACACAGCATCAAGTGTGGTATTTTAGGCTTTTTAAATTAGATCATGCTACAGCTGTATCATAGGGCTCTGTTCTTTTGAAACCGAAATACAAACAAAACTAGTTACAGTGAACAAAATCAGAACCGTGGTTGCTCTGAGGGTGCTGGTGGCTAGTGGACGAGTGGTGAGAAGGAAACTGATAGGAATGGTGTTCATAGGGAACTTTCTGAAAGGATCATAATCCTCTGCGTCTTGTTTGGAATGGTGGTTACATAGATATTTACAACCATCAAAACTCATCCAACTGATTGCTTAAGATTTGACCACTTTATGTTAATTGTATATCCAGTAAAATAAAGAAAGCCATACATTAAAGGTTTTAGTGGTTTCCCACTGAATGTGCAACAAAATCCTTACCCCTCAAAAAGATCTGAATGGTCTTGCCTCTGTCCACTTCTCCAGCCTCATCCTGTGCTCGCATCACTCACATCTTACTCACCTTTTCGTTTCTTGAATGTAGGTGGCTTTTCACTGTAAGTGGATTGTCTGTCTCCACCATCATTACCAGCCTGCACCTACACTTTACTTGGCTAGTCCCTGAGCCTCAGTTTTAGTGTTTACCACTATAGTATCAAAAATTGGTATCTGTTACAAAATCATGATATATATATATATATATATATATAATAAAAATAGATATCACTTGTTATCTATACTAACCTTTTTTATTTCCTATTTAATACTTACCATTGTTTTATCCATTTGTAAATTTCCTCCATTAGACTGTAAGATCTTTGGAACAAAAACTGAATCTCTCTTGATCATTGTTGAATTCTTAGTCAGCCTAACACATTACCTGGAACACTGAAGTTATTTATTTATCTACACATTTATTTTAATTTATGTGTATCATTTGCTGTTCAATAAATAAAAAAAAGGTAGTAGATCTCTAAAGTATGAATACACTTCCATTGGTTGACAATGTGGGACGGATATTTAGGCAGTGGAAACGGGTGGGAAGAAAAACAGAAACAAAATAATTGCATGTATAATATAATTGGCTATTGATGGAAATGATGACATATTAAGGTAGGATGGGACGTGAGATAATGGAAACAAAAGAGAAAACCTGATAAACCATAGTTTTTCTTATTAAAATTTATTGCAGTAGGTGTTCATGTCTACCTTTTTTTCTGAATTGTTGGTGTTGACGTCTCTATAGTGAAATAGGTAAACAACGTATCCAAGTTTGGTCTTCTCTGTAAACAACAGCAGTTCTCTATTTCACTCTCTAAGCACAGGACTTTGTGGGACAGTCTCCCCACAACTGTGTACAGACGGGTTAGCGAACATTCTTTTTGTACTGGCTGTCTATATTAGTCAGGGTTCTCCGGGGGGGGGGGGAGAGTACTCTAGATAGATGGATAGATATGGAGAGATGAGACTTACTGTGAGGAATTGGCTCACATGATGATGGAGTTTTGGAAGTCCCACAATCTGACATTTGCAAGGTGGAGACCCAGGGAAGCCAGTGATGCAATTAGAAATCCTGAGAGCCAGAGAGCTGAAGGTGTAGATTCAGCCTGAGTCTGAAGGTCTGAGAACCAGGAGTCGGGGCAGGAGAAAAATGATGTGCCAGCTCAAGTAGTGAAGCAGACAGAGCACAAATCCCCCCTCCTCCACTTTTTTGTTCCATTCTGGCCTTCGGTGGATTGGAGGATGCCCACCAATATTGGAAGGGCCACCTGTGCTACTCAGTCTTCTGATTTCAAACACTAATCTCATCTAGAAACACCTTCACAGACGTAGCCAGAAATAAAGTTTCACCAGATATCTGGACACTTCATGATCCAGTTAAGTTGTCCCATAAAATTAACTAGCATATCATCCAAAGGAGTAAGAATCTAGCCAACATGTATTTAATATTGTCTGCAGGCTGTCAGGGAACATGGTGCTATCACGTATTAATCTCTTGGTAGCTATATCAACAGCATTACACAGTCAGAACACAGTTAAGAAACATTTATGTTCTGAGATTGAAATAGGAAATAAAAATAATTGACCAGATGAAAATTTTCTGACGCTAACTCAGGGAACAATCTTTAACCATAGCACAGTGAAGCAAACAGCCAGATAGTTTCAACTCATCAAGCTAGGAAGAAGAAATGCAATGTTTCAAAGCTACCATCATTCTGAAGCCTGACTGTCTCTACCTTATGGGCTTTTGTCATCTGAATCTCCAAAGGGTGAGGAGTCATCATTATGCTTGAGACAGAAAGCTGCTTCAGGACTCCGGAGCCACGCAGGGCACACGGTTTTCTACATTGTCAGAAAAAACAGCTGCTACTGATGTCTGTGGAAAAGCAACAGCTGATGTTTTCTGACATGGTGTTATGTTTCCATATCATGGAGTAATGAGTTTGTTCCATGTTGAAAATGAAGCCGTGTCAAGGGGCAGTACAGTGACACTATTGGTCTTGTCATGGAATCACACAGTCTCAGAACTGGAAAAGGTTCTTGGGCTATTAAACACAACCATTCGTCAGCTCCTGGAATTAAACTGAAGTGTGCAGTCGCAATTTTATTGGGTTCAGAGCATCTTACTTTAAGGGGAAAACTAAAATATCACAATATCATGAAAACAGAAGAATTAGCATCACGAGAGATTTGGGAAAACATAAAGGACAATGGAATGGTTAAAATCAATGGGGATGTTTAAGTAGGACAAGAATGGTGAGAAAGAGTACATGAAAGGTAGACTCTGCTATTATAGTTTTAAAAACCTATTTTTATTGGATATATATAGTTTTAACATATTACAATTAATATGTTAATATTTATATACTATTCAGGAAAAATGATTTTTCAAGTATTTTGCAAGAATATTGATTTAGGTCCAATAGAAATAAGAATGTCTGAGTCAGAACTGCCCAGAGATGGAGTGTGTTTCCTGGGGAGGCAGTGACTTGCACGTCTCAGGTCAGACATATAACACAGGTGTTTCCAAGGGGCTTACCATCAGTTTGGATGTCTATCAATGTCTATCAAGAGTCTTTCCATTTATAACTTGGAAATGCAGAAGAGTTGTCTTGTATAAACATCTTTGGAAAGACCATTATGTTTTAAAATACGGTGAAATTGAAACTTAGAAAGACATTTTAAGCTTTATACAAAGATACTAAAGGCAAAGGTAGCTTTCGAAGAGCTATTTTTGATTGCTTTAGCTTGCTTGGCAATCTGTTTTCCCATTACCTATACTGTTATGCTAAGGAAATAAGCCTAGCTCAAATTCAAGGAAGAATAACCAAGATTTAGAAATACAAATCAGAATACTCAATCCAGCTATTCAGATATCAGCCAGATGATTCACACTCTTGTATCTAAATGTTTAGATTAAGTGCTTCATTATCAGTATTTCACTTTTCATCTTGTAGGTATTCAAGACCCGAATGAGCCAGGTCAAAGTGCTGTTATTATACAGTTCAGGCCAAATGGGTGCCAGTGCTTAATACTAGGCTAAGCTGGGAGACTGAAAAACGCCCTGTTGACTGTGGCTCTTTCTTCCCATCCCAGTGTTTCACAGGCTCCCTGTTTCCTAGTTTCCAGCTTCTCTCTTCTGTTCTCCAAGCACCGGGACAAGCCACATCACTGCTTGGAATCTCACAAGAATTCTCTTTTACCTACAGTGGGAGGAGGGTGGCTAAAACCAACACCTTTAGTAGTTTTATTCCTGCTCCCTTTTCCAGCAGCGTTTACTGTCACCATCTCACCTGTACTTCCAAAGAATTTGACTCACAGCATGTACTGCGTAGGTGGAGGAACATGTCTCCCAGTCTGAGCCCCTGTAGTCTCTTGAACTAGGAATGAGCCCTTGACCAAAAGAGGACCGGTTTAATTTTCAAAGAATTTGGTATTGAAACCCAGGAATGCTTTCTTTTTCTGTTGTATGTTCCTCCTGAGAGAATCTCCAAGACTTAACGGGATGTTTTTCTGCAAAGAGAAACAACAAGAAGCAATCAGAGAAAGGGAACGAATAAAACAGATAAAGCCCAGAAAATAGGATACACTGTGTGGTGAGAGAGGAGGTGCTTTTTGAAGGGGGGAGGGGGAGAAGGGAAGAGGAAGAGAGAGAGAGAGAGAGAGAGAGAGAAATAAAGAGAGACACTTAATCCCTGCTTCAGTCCCTGCTTCCAGACTATAGGAGACTTGCCTTTGGCTCCATCTGGCTCTTGCCTTCTAGTAAATTGCCATTTTTTGCTATAGCTTGTTTAAGTGAGTTCTAGTTGCTTGAAGCTGAAAAATCCCTGAAGAAGACAACGCTCTCCAAGCCATGTCGTCTCCTAGAATGCCCTTTCCCTATGGCCCACTTGACATTGTCCTTTTTCCTTCAAAACCCTATCTGCACACAGCCCTTCCTGACCCTTTTTGGGTCATAGATACCTCTCTTCCATGCTTGTATAACACATCCTTCTGTTGTGTTTTCCTGTTCTTCGGGATTTATTTCTTATTAATTGAATATACAGGATCAACTTTCCTGGTAAAGTTTCATGTGTATTTGAACATATTGTGTATTTTATTTTGGAAACAAATGACATGTTTTCATATAGTTCACAGGTACAGATATACACATGAGTATACATATGTATATATGTGTACATAAATATTAATAAATCTTATTGAGTCATTTAAATATTACACACCTTATTTTCTTAATATTGTTCCTCCTGAACTATTGAATTTTTACAGATATGTTAAGTAGTATGCATTTTAAAAGTTGTTTCTGATTTGTTGAAGGCATTCAATTTAAATGAAGTCAGTGATATTATGTCTTCTTCATAG